CAGAAGACGACTATGATTTCTTCAACCATCCTCCCATTGAAGGACACAAATGTTTCTTTAAATATTTTTGCTATCATAAATGTTGCTGCAATTAACATTTTGAAATCTTTTGATACATATTCCCAACTTGTTATTCAGCAGTTACCATTTTTCATTCCTAGTAGCACTGGGACTGCTTCCCTTTAGCTGTACCATCATTGAGCCTTATTTTTGATCTTATGCCAATCTAAAAGGCAAAAAGTGGTATCTTGTTGTTTTAATTTGCATTTCTTTGATTACTAATTAGGTTGAACTTTTTCATATGTTCATTGGTAAATTTGCATTTCTTCTTTTGTGAAATGCCTGCTTGGGTCTTTTATGTGCTTCTCCATTAAAGTGTTCTTTTCTTGATTAAATAGATTATATAATCATCATGTGTTGCAAGTATTTCTGTTCATTTGGCCTTTGCTTGTGACTCCCTTTTATGGGTCTTTAGGACTTTGTAGGCATTGAATAATTTTTATGTTAATTATCTTGATCTTGGAATGTCTGCCTTTGCTGTTATGCTTAGGGCTTTTTTATTATGGTTATATAAATTTCTATTCTGGAAATATTGGTGCTTATTATGAGATGGGGCTCTATTTTTTCTTTTCAAAAAATTAAATCAGTTTTAAAGCACCTTTCACTTTTTCCCAGTGAGCTTAGATTCTACCATAACACATTAGAGAATTTTAAAAATCATATAAATGTTTCTCTGGTCCATTCATTTCTCTACTTAAAGATGTTTTTAATTATCATAACTTTATAAAATATACTTGACAGGGCATGATCTTCCATTCATTATTTTTACAACATTTTTTTTTTTTTAGTTAATGTAAGACATTTATTCCAAGAGAATTTGCAAATCACTTGATCAGGTTCCTTGTTCCTCCTTACATCAAAGAATATACCATTAAGATTTTGATTGAAGTTGTATTATAGTTAATAATGAGGTTTCTGTCATATAAAACATGTAATCTTGGAACTTAATACATCTCCATTTAATTCTTTATTCTTAGTAAATTATAAATGGCTTTTCCCCCATTCAAGTCCAGCATCATTTTGCCAATTTATTCCTAAGTATGATATGCTAATGGATATGGTATCTCTTTATATCCATTATGTCTCCTTGAGTATAGACACATTTGTAACGAGCTTCCTTACTGAATATTTTTATTAGGTCTAATGATTAAGTTGACTCTTTTGGTTTTTACAAATATATTGTGATATAGTTACAATTTCAGCTTCCTCTCCCTCTACCACCAATTATTGTCTTTTATTTCATTTTCCTTATGGCATTGGCTAGAATGTCTAGAGTAATTGGGAACAGTGAAGATGATTCTATAGGTATTCTATTAGGTATTCTTATTTCTGGAAATTCCTCTGTTTTTTATTGTCATGTGATATTGGCTGTTGGTCAATATCTTTAAAATTTCAATTTTCTAAGAGGTTTTAAATTGGAATAGTTATTGAATTATTTGTTAGCCAAAATGAAGCACATGCATATGAAATAATTACAGACTACACTACAGAACTTCAAATTAAAAGTAAAGAGTTTATTTTGTCCCAATTTTTCTTTCCCTCAATGGCTGCTTTTTCTTTTACTTTTCTTCCTTCTTTCCTTCCTCTGTGTTCTTACTTGTTGTATGTTTTCCCACATAAAATGAAATTTATATGTGACACAAATTGTTGTAAAATCAGCCTAGAAGTTATTACCAACATAATGTGTATAAAGGGTTTAATTTTTAGATTATTTAAAGGATTTCTGCAAGTGACTAAAAAATAGACAAATAGAAGTAGGGCAAAGCACATATAGAGGCAACTCTTGAGAAACTAAAATGGAAAGCACATGAAAAGATGTTCAGCTTTGCTAATTGCTTGATTTTTTAAAAGAATATCCACAGATATAGCCAAAATCAAGTTTATTTAGGCAGGAATATGGTGCAGCTTATGTACACATCCAGCTGTGTGAAGCAGACACCCAGCAACACCCCCATACTCAGACAAACTTCCCCAGCTTCACAGGACACTGTTTACCACATACTTCTTTATATACTACAGAGTGAGGAGTTTCCAGGACCTTGGACAAACCTGCTCCATTCATTGTTGAGAGTACTGGAAGCGGGTAAGATATCACTGGACTTTCTCAAGTGTTCTGTGAGGGAGGCCACAGGCCTACCGGTTCGGAAGCATCTCACATTATGATCAGAATGGAGAGAGAGAGAGAGAGAGAGAGAGAGAGAGAGACTGACTCTGCTTGCATATATAAAATATATACCCCAAAGGCACACCCCTAATGACCTACCTCCTCCAGCCACATCCTACTCACCTTCAGTTACCACTCAGTTGATCACTGATTTGTGTTAATGCTATCATAAACCAATCATTTCACTTCTAAATATTCTTTCATTGTCTCACAGATTAGCTTTTGGGGACACCTCACATTCAAATCATAGCAATATTACTGACTTATTGTGAATGAGTTAGGTATCATACTCCTCTGGCCAGCTTTTCTAATATATTCTTCCTTATTAGAACTGGGACTCCTTAAAAAACTCAGATGAACTTGAAACCCTATGCTGTTATAAGAGGCTATTTTCAGAGATAGGTTACCAAGGTGCTCAACTGGAGAGACTTACACTGATCAGTGGGTGATATTAAGAGGGAACCAAAAATTTTAGTTAATTGGAACATTATCTGAAAAAGGACTTAACTTCATAATATGATTAAAGGGCACAAATGATCTAAAATATGCTAAAGCAGTGTTTTCAAAGTGTGTTCCAGGGACTTTTTCGGGGATTAGTAAAGTCAAAGCTGTTTTTATCATATTACTAAGAATATGTTTGCAATAGTCACTCATTGTCTCCCAAGGGTACAGTAGAATTCTGCAGAGATGAATATGTCTAACATCGTTGCCCTGTAGGAGTGTATGAATTGTTTTCTTGTTCTTTGAAAAAAAATCTCAATTTCAATTTCTAGTACAACAAATACAGATACTTATAACCTACACAAACAAGTTATCTGGGGTTCTTCATTCTTTAAGAGTACAAAGGGCTTCTGAGACTGATAGCTTGAGAACTGTACTAGAGAAAAGTCAATCTTACAATACAGATTAATTGATTAGTATTTATAGAAAAGGGAAGTCAGGGTGAATCATTCAATTCATAAAGGTATAAAAAGGTTTTGGCTCAAATACGTGCACTCCTTTGGTTAAAGTGATTATAATAATAGTGATGATTATTTTCTGAGATTACGAAATGTTTTGCTACACAAAGAAAAGCCTGCTGAATTAATATGTTGGGGGTCTTGTGTCACCGAAGGATGGAAGTGGATTATAATCAGAGCTGAAACCTGAACTTTCTAGAGAATGTCAGGCCTGAAAAATGGACTTTGAGTTCCCCCTATCCTACTAAACAATAGGATAATCTTTGAGTGAAGGTTTTTCTATTCCTTTCTATTTTAGTGGTACCTGTGCTTCATTATCAATCAGGCTATGATTTACAGAATGATTAGAGAAGGCCAAAAACTCCCAGAAATATGCAGACAATGAGTATCTTGGAGTGCCTCAAAGTCCTCGCTCCAGTCTGAGGACAATTGCATACTTCAAGGAATGAAGAAGCTGAGACATAGCCTCTACTTTCTATTGTTTCATCTGGTTTTTATTTTTTATTCATTACTTTTTCTATTGTGGGACACATATTTTGCATACCTAGTTATGTGAAGTTGGATGAAAGATATTACAAAACTTGTGGGACATTGTTACATTTCTATGAATATTCTAGTGCTTTGTAAGTTACTTGGAAGCAGAGTAATGCTTTTGCAGCTTGTTTTTTAGGCTTGTTAGGTGCAGCCTTTGGTCAACTCACTGATGGGATAATATTCTTCTAAATATTCTCCCCAATCTCCCGTGAATTTCTGTGATTTTCCACTTTGGCTGGTTGGATGCCTATGTGATCTGAACACTGTTCTCATAGTCCTGTGAGTGGTTCTTTCCCTGGCCTCACGTGTTGACCAATACTTGCTGAAGACTTGACACCTCTACAGATCTTAAGTGCTCTCTGTGAAGCCTTTTCCTTTCTGGTAATTAGCCTTATGAATCCTTGTCACCTTGACATCTTGGACCCCTAATTCCCTCTCAACCAAGAAAGACCACTAGGGTTCCCCTGCCTCCATTGTGTCCTGGACACACTCTCCTGTAGTAGGTTGGGGCAATCATGTGGTGCATTTTGTTTGTCTTCTCTTAGGGACCACTGTCCTCCTTTGTCACCTGAGGTCCAGTGTCTTGAACACTGCTTCTTCAGGTATCCTGTGTGGTTTTGTGGTGTTTCAGGTAGAAGTTATAAACAGTCCATGTCATTCCATGTTGATCAGAAGCAAAAGTTTTGAAAGTTGCTCACACACACACACACACACACACACCACTTTAAAAATAAAGTCTGATTGTGGTTAAGTTTTTTGAGTGCTTTTCTAGATTGGCAGGAATTCCTATGTTTCCTATTGACAATAATCATACATGTTCATCCTTTTTGCACATGTGCTACTTTTCCAGGAGGGTACATTTCCTTTTCTTTAAGATTGCCTTCAATAAGTTGGCATAACTCACTTCTGTGAGTGAATTCTGTGTTTTTTTTTTGTTTTTTTTTTTTTTTTTTTTTGCATTAGTTTGTCACAAAAGAGCCCCTTGCATGATATTAATTTATTACTACAGTGTTGCTCAAAATTCTTCATACATTAAATGTTCTGATTCTGAATATTGTAGGCCTCGTGTGGCAGAAATGCCCTTCATTCATCCTATTTTTCCCCCTCATTTTGGAAAATAGATCCATTTTTCTTTTCTTCCCTTCCTGTCTCATGCAGGGACAGATGCAAAGGGAAACCACATAATTAAAAATGATAAAGATTTTCTGGGTCTTAACTATTGTGCATACATAGAAGATATGGATGTAATGGTTTTGATTGAAGAAAATAAATTTTCTTTTCAGGTAATTATAAATTTGATTTGCTATGTAAAGAAGAATCTCTTGAGCTCAAAAACATATTCTCTGTGAAGCTGAAGCGGCGTTGCTCTGCTAAGCAGCCAAGAAGTGGGACTTTACTAGGCATCACACTTTTCTTCTGCCTGAAAAAGGAACAGAACAAATTAAAAGATTCCACCCTTGATCTTATTAATTTAAGTGAAGACCACTGCGATGTATGGTTTAGACAGTTAAAGAAAATTTTGGCAGGTAAGTACTCCTGGGAGTTGTTTTTTTGTTTGTTTGTTTGTTTTTTTTTTAGTTGTAGATGGACATAATACCTTTATTTTATTTATTTATAAATGGTGCTGAGGATTGAATCCAGTGCCTCACATATGCCAAATGAATGTTCTACCACTGAGCCACAACCCCAACCCCATCCTGGGAGTTTTGTCTATTTGATGTAGATTATGAATATACACATGTTATATTTATGGGTACAAACAACACTTGATTCTGTTGATGGCATCTTACCATTCCTAGTATGTTGAGTGTGTTTATCATAAGAGGGCATTGAATTTTGTCAAGTGTTTATTTCTACATCAACTGAGATGATTATCTTTTTCCCCTTTATTCTGTTCATGTGGTATATTACACTGATTTTTCATGTATTTAACCATCCTTGCATTCTAGGAACAAATCCCAATTTGTCTTAGTGAATAAGCTTTTAATGTGCTTTGAATTTTTTTCGTTCAAATTTTATTAAGGATTTTTACATCAATGTTCATAAAGGATATTGATGTGTAGTTCTTTTTTAGTATCTTTGTCTGGATTTGGCATCAGGTTAATGCTGGCCCCATGGAATGAGCTAGGCATTGGCTCTTGAGTGACCACATTCACAAAGAAGCTTCTATAATCTGAAATAACAGTTTTTAAATAATTTTGTTCACTTTCAAGTTACTTTTAGAAGCGTATTTTTATATTCACATCTTTCAGCTTATTTTAGAACTGTTTTCTTCTAGGCACATGTTGATAGCATAGTTTGTATTGATGCCTTTGGCATTTGAAAATAAGAACGTTTTGAAGATAATCTTTAAGGAACTTTACTTTTTACTGTGTCAATTGAGACTTGTCTATCTTAGGGTAGATTTTTCTGAAGGTGAACATCTAAGAACATGCTTATTAGAATATATCTCATAGATGGACTCTGTATCTGAAATTTCTAAATGACACTTTTATATTTTGCACACTAAACAAAATAATAAATACAATGCAATTTGGATTTTTAAATTTTGGATTTTTAAATATTATCTAGTTAAAATATAATCTGATTTTTAGGGTTGATTTATTTTTTTTGTCCTCATAGGTTGGAAAATATTGCTTAATTTCCTTTTAGCCCACTTTTTTCCTTTTTGCCAGATTGACCAGGGTAGTGGCAGCTGGTATTGCTGATGGTTTAGTTTGGGCTTGGATGACTCAGGAGAAAGATGGGTGCCAGATAACGAGCATGCACACAGAGATGTCAGAAATATTCAGGTCCAACATCTATGATCAACATCATGAGGACCCATGTTGGTCACTGGCAGGCCACTGCTAAGGTTATACCCATAGAAGATGCCAATAAGCTGACATGACTGCATTAAAACTGGAAAACTTTGCTGCTAAGTAGCCCCATCCTTCCTCATTATCCCCTTTGGGATCTTCAAAGAGACCTGATTCTTTCAAGAGGGCAGGAACCCACAGAGGCCATAATTTAGTTCATTCCTGAAAATGGAGAAAAATCAGTGTAATTAACTAAAAGCATTCCACTTTAACTGTGGGACTTTTACACTGTTATTTCAAATTCATGTGAAAAGATAAAAGGTTAAAAATGAAAATGAATCATTTCAATTACATTTATTAACATGGCTAGGTATTCATTGGACTTGCATGGTCTGTAAAAGAAGCATCAAACTCTTCCTCACTCTGAAATCCTGATAAATCTCCCAGAGAGCTTATAAAAAGATGGCTAAAGCAACTTCTTTAATATATCTCACCAATAAAGCCAAAAGCAAGTAGCAGAAGATATCACAACAAAGCTCAATTCAGTAAAAGCAATTTTATAGGAGTGTGCCTAGCCATAAGCAAACAAAACAGCCCCTGATACACTGTCCAGATATTCATCTTAATGATGTTTTGGTTTAATTTAATGTTAAAATCTAGACAGATTACAGAGATCACTAAACAACTTATTATCTAGGCTATCATCCTTTGGGGATATTACTTCTTGTACTTTTGATTTTGATAAGAGTTGGAGACAGTAAAATATATAAGGTCATAATCTCTGCATTGGTCCTGGAGTAGAGTTAATTTGCTGATTAAAAGCAAATAGACTGACTTTTAAAACCAAGCAGTGCAAACAAACAACACAGGATTGAAATATTCTAATGAAAATGAAAACCAAGACTATCTGAATAAATGACTGTCTCATCTCTACATCCAAGGGACAGGGAGTCCTTAAAGGAGGGGTCAACTCATCTCCACTCAAAAGCAGTTCTGGGTCAACTTCATTGTGCACAAGTGAACAGCTGAAGCACCAAGACTCTCTGCCACTCATTATATTATATTGGTACTTCCTTTTTAAGATTTTATCCTCAGTTTTTCTTGCTATTTCTTTCATGTTCATATCCATGAACTCCAGGTGTTTATTAAAGTGCCTATCATCTGACAGTCAAATATAACTGGATCAAACCTCTTTCCCTTAGCGAAGGAAGCCCTGAGTCCTTCTCAGTCTGAGATAGGGCTATTGCGTACCTTTACCTGGTCTTCTCTGGCTCTGCTTTCCAAGGAGTTGGGTCTCCGTTTGTATTATCTCCCCCTCTTATATCCACTGTCCCTGTTATTTGATAACAGTGCATCAGATTTAGCAAATGGTGATTGATCAGTGTTTAGCCATCCCTGCCCCCTGAAAGAATTCCTCATCTAAATAATTAGTGTTTAGAGCTAACCTAAATTTAGGAGATGATGAATTTTATACCACAAAAAATATATATTTGATTCACAGTGAAATATTAGGCAATTCTATTTTAGGTACAAAGACCTTGTTTTTAACTGTTTTTTTTTTTTTTTTTTTCTGATGAAATCAACAGGTTGTTTTAAAAAATTGCATTGACTTATTTTGGTTTTTATCTTTATGTAGCAAAGAGATTTTTTTTTCCTTCCAGCCTTTATATCTTATCCCTTTTTTACTCCAAATATGAAAAACATGAAGAAGGAAGGCCTTCAAACCTCAAGGGGTTGGTCTTTTAGTCTAATTAGTGTAACACTAATTTTAGCATAATTTAGATATTATGAGTCATTTTCAAATATGCACATTTTCTCTTTGAATCAGAGCAATGAATAGGATGTGATGAATTTTTAAGAAAACAGACTGGCGGTACTGGGGGGGGGGGCGACAAAACAACTCTCAAACACTTGTGATTTTAAGACTTAATTGACAAAAGGTGACCAGATAATTGTAGGTTTATAAATATAAAACAATCTTAGAAGTCTATTTTTACCAGAAAACAAGTTGGCTCCTTTCATGTTCAACAATTCTGAGTGCAATTGAGTACAGCATCTTTTTTTTTATTCTTAATAATAGAAAAGTCATCATAACTTTATGACAAGTGGGCAATAGAGGTTCATTCATCCAACACACATTTTGTATTAGACTCTGTGTTAAGAGTTGGAAATACAAAAATGAAGATGTACTCCTATATAGAACTCTAATTCTATACTCCTGTATAGAACTCTTTTGCCCTGGATACAGAATAGACAATTCATTGTATTTAAAAATGTATTAAGGGCAACAATGATGATATGAACAATTGAATAGGGACCACAACAATTGATTATTGATTTAGAGATTCAAAAATTTTTTAAGTAGTTTAGATTATGTAGTTGTGTGGTGAAAGCAATTGAACATAGTCTTTCTATTTTTTATATACCTGTGATGCAAAGATAAATATGCATAGATTTTAAATATAGCAAGAGTGTACAGTAGGTAGGTTGACTTTTATCCATTTAGTGTATGAGCCAGTTTCTGCATATTTGAGTTTCCTAGAAATGGTGACTTATGAGCTCCTCTGAACACTGAACCAAGCTTTTTCTTAGAAACAATTACCTAAATGTTAATGGATATTCATAGGCTTTCTGGCAGGCACCCTGTATGGGAATAAAGAACACAGTATCCTGCAGGTGATATTTAGGGTCCTCAGAACTTGGCAGAAGTTGAAGAGAGAAATGAAACAAAACAATGGCAAAAGAAAACAAGAGCTCTAAAGGATTTGCTCAAGTGACTTGGAGAATAAAGATGAAGTTTATTGTAAAACACAGTTGATTCAAAAGAAAAATATTCTAGTCTTGGCCCAATGGGATGTACTACATGATGCAACTGGGGATGATGAACCACGGAGCACTTTGAGAGGAATTTATGAAGAAGGGGAGAAGAGTTGATGGAAATAGATGAAATCACAAAAGCAAGTAGTATAGATTTTTTTTTTAAAGCAGAGTATTACATACAAAATCTTGGGGACATGCTTATATATTAAAATACAGAAGAAAAAAGAGGAAAAAACTGAAAAAATGGTAAAAAAAAATTGAAGAACCCTTTTAGCATAAGACTGTTGAGTTTTTCAAAATGGATGAAGGACCTAGGAATTAGACCAGAGATTCTATACCTACTAGAAGAAAATGTACGCCCAATTCTCCATCATGTCAGCTTAGAAACCAATTATCTCAACAAGATTCCTAAAGCGCAAGAAGCAAAATCAAGAATCAATAAACTAAAAAGCTTCACAGCAAAGGGAAAAATCAAGAACCTGAACAAAGAGATTACAGAATGGGAGAAAATCTTTCAAACCCATACTTCAGAGCATTTATCTCCAGGATATATAAATAACTCAAAAAACTTAACATCAAAACCCCAAATAACCCAATCAATAAATGGGCAAAGCAACTGAACAGGTACTTCAAGAAGAAATACAAATGATCCAAAAAAAAATATATGAAAAAAATATTCAGGGGCTGGAGTGATGGCTCAGTGGTGGAGTGCTCACCTAGCATGCATGAGGCACTGGGTTCGATCCTCGGCACCACATAAAAACAAATTAATGTATCTACCTAAAACTAAAGATATATAAATAAATAAATATTTTTAAAAAATGTTCAACATCTCTAGCAATTAGAGAAATGCAAATTAAAACTACACTGAGATTTCTTTGCATTCTAGTCATAATGGCATTTATTAA